CACTGGATTCAGTCCAGCTGAGCTTGTTTTTGGGCATACGCTACGTGGTCCCTTGAAGGTACTGCAAGAGCAGTGGTTGTCCCCGAATCCACCTCCTCAGACTAGGAATGTGTTAGGCTATGTTAAGTCTCTGCGTGAGCGCCTTGGTACAGTCAGGGACTTGGCCAAGCGCTCGTTAGGTTCGTCACAGGAGGTGATGAAAACTCGTTTCGATAAAACAGCTAGAGAACGGTCGTTCCAAGAGGGAGATCGCGTGTTAGTCCTTTTGCCCTTGCCTGGCTCGTCTCTTCAAGCCCGGTTTTCAGGTCCTTATAGTATACAGGAAAAAGTAAGTCCCACAAATTATATCATTGAGACCCCAAACCGCAAGCGGAAAACTCGCCTGTGTCATATCAATATGCTAAAACCTTACGTTGATCGTGCTGACCCCGTTCCTTCGTCCGCTTCTGTTTTGCTCCCCTCTGCTGTGGTTACTGTGCCGGTGCGCGAGTACTCGCCCGAACTCGATGAGCTGCACCTCGGGAGAAATTGTTTACCATGCGCTCGCCTACCAAATTCAGAAGCCCTTAAAGTCCTCGAGAAAAAGCTTGCTCACTTACCCAGAGCCGCCCAATCGGATATCCAGGCCCTAGTGCGCAAGTTTCCGTCGCTATTCTCCGACACCCCTTCACAGACCCCTGTGTTAGAACATGATATTGATGTTGGAGATCATATCCCCATTAAACAGCACCCCTATCGCGTTAGTCCTCATAAGCGGGAGCTATTAAAGAAGGAGACTGATTACCTGCTGGAAACGGGTCTCGCCGTTCCTAGTTCCAGTCCCTGGAGTTCACCCTGTTTGCTTGTCCCAAAACCCGATGGTACGTCTCGTTTCTGCACCGACTATAGGAAAGTCAACGCGGTAACCAAACCCGACGCCTTTCCGCTTCCTAGAATGGAAGATTGTGTGGACCGCATTGGGTCCGCTCGGTTCGTATGGGGGCTCGTCCGGGAACCAATTCATCGAGCAAAAATTGCTTAACGACCCGCTTGGAAGCCTCAGCGGGGACCAAAATGTTAAAGAAGTCTGCTATCTGTAGCAGATCATCCTTGCGGCACACATCAAATTGTTCGAGTGTGGGGTAAAGGGTGAACGCAACAAGGTCGAATTGGAAGGGGCGGAGCGAACAGCAGCAGGACGTAACACTATGCGTACTCTAGCTTTTTGATTTATGTTTCTAACTGAATCTAAGCAAAACCTTGATATTACTCCTACTATAACTATATATATGTCCCTCACTATATTTATGCGTAAATCACACTAACTGCTAACCTGTTTCACTAATACAATTTGATTTCAAATAATAATGATCGCCAAACTACTCGCTCAAACCAACAAGCCCCGATTTCTTCCGGGGTTTTTATTAATAGTTTTTTTCTCTTGCCGTGAACAATGACACGACGGTCACGTGACTGATGTTTCGAAACATTTCGTCAACTCTTAATCGAAACCAGAAGTTTCGGATGTGTTCGGAACGGATCGGATCCTGTGTGCCGAAATTGCCATCTCTACTGAATGCACCACATGTTTCCAGGTGGATTGTGAATCTGTCAGTGAACCAATACAGGACGCTATTTGTCCCATATTTTTGTACACATACGTATACTTCATACATACACTAGCTAGGTCAGGGGTCCCCAGCAGAGCTATCTGTACAGGACACTTGCCAAATTTATAACCATTCTACACTTTGGGGTAGTTGTGTGGGTTTTTAGTTGCAGTGACTAGCAATTAGTTTAGAATAACATATCACAGCTTACATTGCTGTACATAAACTTGTTTGGACTATGTAGTTGATTGCATTGTCATTTTATTAGCTAAGCATTCTAAATGTTCAGTTCATGCTACTAATAATAGTACCATTTACATGATGTCTATTGATTAGCCATATTTGCTTGTTTACGGAATTGTTCTGAATGAAGAGGGAGAAAAAGCAGAGGTATATGGGTTTGTTCTCAAACACATAAGAAATTTACGAACGAGAGGAGGCCATTCGGCACATCAAACTCATCTGGGGAGAACTCAACTAATAGCTCAGAGTTGTTAAAATCTTATCTAGCTCTGATTTAAAGGAACCCAGGGTTTTAGCTTGCACTACACTAACAGGAAGATTATTCCATATTCTAAATAAAAACATAAGAAATTTACAAATGAGAGGAGGACATTCCGCCTATCAGGAGACCAAATGGGTCATCCTTACAAACTCATTACTGTAACGTACCAATTTTTTCAAAGTTTTGATATTAGTTTGACAATAGACTCATCATAATTATTGTCTAAAATGCTGATTTTGTTTCTGTTGTAGTTAAGTAAAATGACGGACAATATAAAATGATTGAATTAATAAACATACATAGTATGATACTTGGGGAAAATGGTTGAGGGATCATTAAATCAAACCTAAAAATGACATAATTTGAATATGCCTAATAAATTAAGGTAATGTTAATTGCTCTGTACAAATTTTAAACTTATTTTGTATTTCACTGTAACATTTTGTTTTTTGTCGAAGGATTCTCTTGTTTGTGCAAATTACCAAATACAGTGGTACCTCGGTTCTCGAACTTAATCCGTTCCGGACTCCGGATCGAATCCTGAAAAGTTTGAGTTCTGATCGAATTTTTCCCATAATAAATAATGGAAAACCAATGAATTGGTTCCCGGCCCCCCAAAATTACATCTAAATATGTTTTTTTTAACATTTAAACACAAAATGAACAGGATAAAACAAGAAGAGCATTTTTTTTCTTAATGGCTTCCAAAGCGATAAAGATCTTATCCCAACATTACCCCTGTCCTGCCCCGATCGTCCGCTCCTTCCTTAGACCACGCCCCCTCGTTAACCTCGTGTGGGATCCCCATGTGATCAGCTGTTTCTGGTAGTTTTCATTAGTCCTCTGCAGGCACGTGCACACATAGAGATCAAAGGGGGCTTGAGCACCTGCCCTTTTTATTCCTGGAGAGAAAGTGCCCTTTTTTCTGGGGGGCTTTTTTTTTTTTTGAAAAATAATATATATTCCTGTTTGCGCACAGCTTCCCTGTCAAACAAATATATTTATTGAATAATAGTATACCCAAATATCAGGTCAGGAGTTCTGAAGCGAACATCCCCCCCCACCCCCGCACATCGGCGCACATCGGCGCACATCATATACACACACACCTGCAGGCAGCAGCAGCCCCTCCCAGCAGTGTTTTTCTTGGCTTGTGCTGAGGTGAGTGGAGCTGGTGATGAACAAAAGATTAAACTACCAGTGCCTCGAATAAGGCTCGAATTTACTGCTGATTAGCCAAAGACAAATATATACTGTAGTTAACCTGTGTTTTGCTAGCATGCATGCCTCATGAGCTACTAGACTAGCTAATGTGTAAGGGTTAAAAGGGAGTTTATTGATTTAAGCCCGATTGTATTGCTTCCGCTAAAGAAAATAGTACACTCCGTCTCTACG